AAAAAAGTCATACTATAGCATGTCGTTTTTGTCAAAAAAGGTCACGCTTCAGAATATCCTGAAAACGCATCAGGATGTAGTATATAGTGAATATACTTCAATGCACCGTTAGTGCTCGGACCCTAATAATAATTCATAATCATTGTGGAAACTGATCAATTATAAGCTTAATATTAGTATTAATAGTGATTTCCACGAACAATAAATGTAATTTTTAATTTTTTTAAGGGCAAGTTTTTATTTCGGTCTATAATCTGAATGAAGGCTTTTATTACAAATCACTCAAACCTGAATTTCTAGGATTTTTTAATCCTTAAAACATGAAGAAAATGGTTTTGTTTTGTATTTTCTGATTTATTGAGTGGTTTAAAAAAAAACAAACTAATATCCCCTCTGATGTATTAGAATTAAAACTCTTTAAACAAACAAAATGAAAGAAGAAATTTGAAGCTGGATTTATCAGATGTTCACATTTCTGTTGCTGAAATTAAAGCAAATTGGTGCGTAGTTAACTTAATTACGCCTCATTTGAATGTTTAAACGTTACATTTAGTTCAGTGTTATTCTCAGTAATCAGCTTTGAGTTTTATTTTAATGTCTGTCAGTTAAATCGTGGTTTCCAGTAAACATAAGTGATTTAATCAGTGTTCTTAAATGTGTTTCTTCTTCATACAGAGATCCAGAAATCTTAAATCTCACCAGCTTTTCAGTTTTATTTCTGTTTGTGTTTTTGCAGAGCGGTTACAGAACGTTTTATTCCTCAGAACATGGAGAAAACTGATTTGTTTTCTGATTTTTTTGGACAGAAATGTGTTATTTGAAGTGATGAAATGAGACGTCTCCTCTGCAGATTCCTAAAACCTTTGATTCTAAAATGTCAGTGACATAAAAACAGACGTTCTGAGGCAGGCTTCGTCCAACATTCAGGTTTCTGTTGTGGAAAATGATGCATTTTTGTGCAATTTTAAACCATTATTTATTGTATTATGGTGATAATAAGTAAACATTCGTCACCTCTAGTTTCTCCTCTAAAGTAAAAAAAACAAACAGAATCGATCCAACAGTAAATATTCTATTTATTTCTTTATCAAAACACGTGGTACAAAGCGAAGGTCCGTCTTCAGGGTCGTTTATGTGGCGAACTTCTTCTGGCGGACCGGCGCAGGCAGCTGGGCCATGACGTCCAGCAGGGGGCGCTCCACCACGGCCAGGGAGAGGTCGTCCAGCAGAGCCACGCTCAGGACGTTCTGAGGGACGAGATACCAGCAGGTCAACACACAAGCTCAGGGTGTCACAGGTTAAAGGCAACGCTACCAACACCGAGGAAACAGACGCAAACATCTGAATACAAAAAGTTCTCTCTCATTATTCTGGCGTTTAGCAAATTCAGAGCTGCCTGTTTATTATCAAACCCTCGGTCCAGGATGGAACTATGACCACATCCGGGATGTTCCAATAAGCGGGCTTCAAGGCTGAAGATCAAGACATGTTGATTCAAACGGAGCTTTATGGTGTTGCTTCAGTGTCGTCGGTAGGAAAAGCCGCCCCGTCGATAAAAGTTACTTCTTTCAATCAGAGGGTTACAGAGGATTAACTGATCCGGATTAACCAGCCGAGCAGTTCAGTTCTGGGTGACGACATGCGGTTCTCTTTGATGTGATTAACGTCAGACGACGTGTGAACAACTCGGCGATCGGATCTCACGTGAGCACGTCACTAACAAACAAACACGCTGCTGACTGAGGCGTGATGATGAGCTGACACGCATGACCAACGCTCGGCCCACGAGACGCAACCATCAGCCGACCGCGACTTCAAACAGACAAAAGTTACTCCTGGAATCAATTTAGGGGAATTTCGTCATGACAAAAACCAGGATCAAGACATTATTCTGTGATGATGAACAGGCTGGTTTAACTGTAGGGAATGATTCAGGACTTTGATGTCAATGATCATAAACAGGATGTTCTATGAAGCGGTGGCATTACGTGGGCAGCACCGTACCTGGAAGTTCTTGCAGATCTTGAAGGCGTGGCTCTGCCGGGCTCTCTCCGGACCGGGGAGACTCCTCAGCACCGTCTGGTTGAGGAGCAACGTCCTGGACTCGGGGAGCGGCTGCAGAGGCCAGAAAACAGTGAGTTTAACCACATTTATGCATGAATTTGTTCTTTAATGTGAGCAGATCGTAGTTAATCCGACTTTAAGCAGCGACACACAGACCGTCAGAATGTTCTGGTCCAAACTGAATGCTTCGTATTTTATCTGAACTTTAAGATTTCTGCTGTGAGCTCATTAATTAAGCCTGAATCAAGTCAGGATTTAAAATAACACAACCAGCAAATCAGAAAGGCTGCAGTGTAGCACAAACTATGTTTAGTTTGTCTGTGAGTGCTTTTAAAACATGAAACTAAAGGAAGACGCTGATAATTCACCTACCATTTAGGATCATTTTTATCTTTAGTTTCTCACCTTTGCATTAGAACGTAGTGAAGCTGAAGCCTGACTAACAGATGATCTGATCTACTTGTTCGACATTTCAGATTCTGAATCAAAGACATGATGAGAAATAAGCGTTAAAAATCCAGGTTTTTATCTTTAATAGCTCCTCAGATGTTCAAACAGCCTCAATGTGTGAACAGAAAGAGCTGAAAGTGGGTCGACGGGTGATTTTTAAATAATGTTCATCTGGGAAAGTCGTCCGTACATGAAGGTAAAACTTGACAGATTTCACGTTAAACATCCAGAATTTATATTTAAAAGGTTTCACACAAACCAGAGACGGTCGATCAGAAGGAAGCTGATGATGTTAGATGGAAAACAACCGATATGCTGCTAATTTAATCAGAATATCTGTCAGAAAAATCAGGATTTGATCAAATTTGATAACATTTGATAATTTCCCCAAATCGTTTAAGGTTGGTCATCTGTTCAAACATCAACTGTTTGTTTTATTTTTTTTGTTTTGTTTGTTTAATGATGTTGTTTTTTAAAATTATTTGTTGAAATACCTTTAAGAAACAAAAACAAACCAACTCTCTACCTGAACAAGTCTTTCCTGCTCCTTTCCCTCCTGCACCGTACGTTTATTTTATTATGTGTAAATTGATTGTTTTTAAATTGTGTTTAGAAATACAGAGAAACTGATGGCACACATTTACAGGTTCAACAGATTTAATGTTCTATTTTCCTCATACGGTTCATCGCTGCAGCACGTTTTCTGTTAAAACGAGGAGCATCAGCAGAGTTATTCTTTTATTTATTTTAAGTTTTAGACCTTTTAGATTCCAGAAAGCAGCTTTTTAACACAAAAACTGCAGATTATAGACTCTCTAAATCCAAAAACTTAACTTTTTCCACCAGAGCTGTGAATATCTAATCAGTGCATTGAATAAAAACGTAAATACAATAATTATTTTTGTGTTGTCATATTGAAATATTGTGTTTCTCTGCACTTGTATGATCCCACACGTGGAGCTAAATGCGGTTCTCACCAGACTCTGGTCGATGATGCAGAACATGAAGGTGTCGTTGAGGAGGATGTGCGTCGGGTTTCTGGGGCTGAAGCCGACGCTGGTGACCGGCGTGTCCCTCTTCAGCCACACACTGTGCAGACCCTGCTTCTGCAGCTTGCGGCTCCACTCGGTGTACTCCTGCTGCAGCAGCGAGAACTCGAAGATCTGCAGCAGCAGCGAACGCCAACACGTTAACGATCTGCGGGTTAATAATGGGTAACAAGCTGCAACAGGAGGGTCTGGACGACGCTTACCTGCTGGTCGGCGTGAACGGAGACGAGGCGGCTGGAGGTCGGGTGGATGGCGATGGCCGTGGGACACGAGCTGTGCACCGGGACCGCACAGTGGAGCTGCAAACAGCAAACAGAGGCGTCTGAGTCGATCTGTAAACGCTGATCTGGGTCCAATTTGTTTGAAAATAATCCGCTTTGTCAATGCAGAGGTTTACTGAGTCTTTATGTAAGGAGAGAAAATGAAGCTGCAATAAAGCCGGACCGACCTTCATCTTCTGCAGGTTGTAGACGTGGATCTGACAGTCGGTGTTGGCCGTAGCCAACCATCTACCGTCCTCGCTGGGAAACAGCAGGTGGACCGGCTGTCTGGAGCCTGAACGAGACAGAAAACCCACAGGAAGCAGTGAAATGGTGTCAAACAGAAAGCTGCAGGGTTCTGGGTTTAGTTTAGTGTCATGATGTTTGGGTTTACTGCAGTGTTTAGAAGTTCTGATGATTTGATCCATTAAAAACACAAAGATGCTCCATTAGCTCGGTGTGTTGTAGTGCACTACTTCAACCACTAGAGGGCAGACTGAAGCAGAAAACACTGGACATGATGATGATCTGTAACGTTTAAAGTGACGTTATCTCCTTTTTCAGGCTCAAAACATCATCAAACGTTTAGTCTAAAGCTCATAAAGTTCACATTTTGGGCAGTTTTATGTTCAAACAGTTTGGTTTTATCCATCTGAAATCTTCAGGATGCTTCTCATCGACCAGCTTGAAAGTTATTTAAATATAAACTGTTGATATTCGATAAGTTTTAGCTCCATATGTCAAATACTCGCTGAGATATTTTTGTTGAACAGTTGATGAAGTGGAACATTTTTGTAAATTAGCACATTTTTAATTCTCTGATTGTAAAAACCTGATTTAAAAGACGTTTTATCTTAGAAACCAGGGAAACTGATCACATGTAAAGTTAGAACTGTGATATTTTAGATTGTTTAATTAATGACATGATGAGAAATAACAAGTTTTATCTTTAACATTTGTTCAGATGTTGTCGTTCAAACATCCTCAAATTTAAACGTGAGAGAAAACCTGCTGAAATCGGATTTTTACTAAACTTTATCCTGAAAAATGTTTAACATATGAAGCTAAAATTTAACAGACATCTTTATAAATATCTATATTTTATGCTATAAACGTTTCAGACAGATCAGAGACGGCTGAGCAGATTCTTGCGCTGCGACCACCAGCTGACTTTCTGTGTTAACAAAAGCAAACAGCTGCTCGTCACTGACCGCTGATGGACCCGGACTCACCGGACTTGTGTCGGAGGGTTTGCAGGTATTTACACTCCAGCTGGTTCAGAGCGACGACGACGACAGACGACTGGCTGGAAGCGGCGAACAGTCTGGAGGAATCGGCGGAGAAGCAGAGCTGGTGAACCGACTGGAGCTCTCTGGGCAGTTTGGACACCTGGAGGGAGGAAGAAGAATCCTGATGAATAGGAAACGTTCAGACGGATCGGTGAGCGATGATCTGCTGAGGACGGACCTTGGTGATGCTGACGCTGTTGTTGCTGTACTGCAGCTTGTAGAGTCGGACGCTGGAGACGGTGGAATAAACCAACCAGCCTCCACACGGAGACACGGCGCTGCAGCAGATGTGATCTTCTCCCTGCAGGACGAGTTTCATCAATGATTCAGTTAAACTGGTCGACAAAAACTAGTCAGCCACCACCACCGTGGGGGATATTCAGGATGTTCGTCATTAATTGGGACCGAATGTCTGGAGATCTGAAATTGCTATTCGGACCAGCCCTACTGTTCAGAAAAAAGCATTTACGTATTTGTGTATGTTGCCGGTACGTATTTAATTAAAAGTTAAAAATCTTTCTGTGTAAATATCTCATGTTCCAACGTGGACACCTGCAGCTTAGAGACCAGTGCGTCCTGTATATGCACACATTTGTTTTCTTTTAGTGGGTGGAGCTTATATTCAGGAGCCTCAATAGTCTGGAAACTATGGTATTAAAAAAATAACACTCCAATGTTTTTCTGATGAATTAACAGTTGGTCACGATGCCGTCTGTGTCGTTTTCTTTCTGTGCAGGATTTAATAAAGTCACAACAAGCCGATGTCGAAGATTCAGAGCGAGACCAGACCCCACGTTAGTGACCGATCACATCACGCAGACTGAAGTTCTACGGACGGATCGTTGGGCTTCTTTTCATTTCTCTACGGCATCAACACACCTTCCTCTTCAGCTGCAGCAGCTTCTCTGGTTTCCTCTTCAAAGGCAAACTGTCGCCAGGCTTCCCTGTTAACACACGTTTAATATCAGCTGAAGGCACAATTAAAGGTCACATTTATTTACATGCACAAAGAAGAGCACTTAAATTATCTGAGCTGCACCATCAACAAAACAAGCTGGAGCCCAAATATCATTTAATGAATGTCAATAATGCTTTAATGTCTAGAATGTGACAAACTGTATGTGAGAGGAAAATCTGTCAGAAGTATTTGCTTCAATAAGGATTGTTCCACATCTTCACATCTGTCAGCAGCACAAACGACAAATGACAGATAACTCCGTCTTCACAAACCTTCAGAAGACCCACTTCTCCATCGTCTACCTGAGACAACATTAAATTAAACTTAAGTCATCTCTATTTTTGTCGTTTCTACTGAGTCACATCTACTCAGCTTCAGTTTATTATTATCTCAAGCGAACAACAAAAGAAGTTCTCTGAAAATCTACAAACATGGAGTTCTCTGTTTTGCAAATGAACTCTTCTTCCGTTTTCCTGCTTGTTGAACCATCCTGTAGTCTTTCTTGTTCTGTTTTACATCTCAGAGTCAGACTGTGGTGTTTTTTTTCCTCACCGTTCCCGTCGCTCTCTCCGAGCCTCCAAAGCTCCAAATGATCAGGAAACTGGAAGAGCAGCAGTCCGGCTTTCTTCGCACAGCTGACGAGGTTTCTCTACACGAGGACGGGCAGAGGAAGTCGTTTTTATTACACTTGATTATCAAAAGCCTGTTTTTGCATGAACATTAAAAGATTAAAACAGAAACACACAAGAAACTAGTTTGTTAATGAACGTTCTCGCCTACAAAAGCATCAGATAAGTATTAATGCTATTATTTATTAATCATCCTGTATTGTTGTGGTGGTAACACAGTAGTAAGATAGAATTAATTTAAAATCACAAAACACTCTAATCAACCTAATTACAGAGCAAAAATAAACTCATCTTAAATAAAACATTTAAGGAACACAAACTGAAGCAATGAAAATTAGAAATCATTTTAGATATTTTCTGTCATCAATACTAAAAAAATAGAACAAACTCCTTCCAAGAATCATGTTCAAGCCTTCATGTGTGATTTTTAACAGACTGCATCAGAACAATAGTGCAAAATTGATCCGGTTATAGTTTTATTATTTTCTTGTTTTGGAGAAAAGAAAAAAAAAATATCAAAGATGCTCTTCTATATAATACACGATATATACTAGATGCTCTTGTGACTCGTGACGGGTTTTGTTCTGCTCGTTCTCTACTCACATGAGGAAACGCGATCTTGCGCTGCGCCGCCTCCTGTGTGTTCTTCTCCACTTTGTCCAGCAGGGGGCGCACTGACAGCTGGGTGTCCATACCTGCAGGGAAACGATGAACATCCCATCATGTGACTTTATAGTTTATATGTGAACACACAAACAGGATGCCACGGTGGTGATAAACAGCCTGATGTCTATATGTGGTGATGGACTAAAAAGAGACGTAGAAACCAAACCTGCTATTGTACCAGTTTAAGGTTTAAAAAAGCTTTATTATAAAACTAGGAGCACTTTTATTCATCACACAGAGGGATGGCAGACAGCATTTGTTGTTTTTTGTAGATTTAGCGTCTTGATCATCCTCCTGTGTTTGGCTTAAGGAACACATTTATGAATAAACAGATTATCTCTAACACTGACCTCCAGAAACCACGGCGGTGTCGGTCAGAACCAGCGCCCTCACGTCATGCGAGTGGCTCTTAAAGGTCCTGGTTCTGACCCACTCGGGGTCCTGTCGGTCCACAGTGGAGGAGAGGAACTGGAACTGGACGACGGTTCCCTCCGACGTCCCGGCGATCAAACTGCTCTCATCCTGTCAAAACATCCACAAACATCAGCGGCTCTGCGGGGACGCGACCGACAACCGGCTCCTGGAACTTCCCGTCCGCTGACTCTCACCTGCGACACCGACAGCGCCAGAACGTCCCACTTGGTGACCAGGTGGGTTCGGACCAGAGTCCCCATGGACCCGTCCCAGATCTGCACCTTCCCCGCCGAGTCGCCACTGACGATGGTGTTGTCGGACAGGAAGGCGACGCTCCAGACCACCACCTCCCGGGTTTTGGACGTCCCCACTCCTCTCTCCACCAGCAGCCGGTGGGTCGCTCGGCCTGCCGGCAGGAAACCAGAGAGTCAGGATCAGTTAGTGGAATCAGGAAACCGTGAGCGAATTCTAAAGCTTCTCTACAAAATCATCATTCAAACTGAACCATCATCCCGCTGCCTTGTTCCTTCTTTATTCATTAACAGACTGTTACTACAGACAGTGAACGCACCACAGACTGTTACTACAGACAGTGAACGCACCACAGACTGTTACTACAGACAGTGAACACACCACACATGTTAAAGCACCTTCAGCTGCATAAATTCCATTAAAGTTGCTCTACAAGTGAAGTCCTAATAAAGAAAACAGGAACCAGTTCTTCTGATGTTTGAGTGTTTTAACTCGTGTTTGGTTCGGTGCAGGTGGACTTACCGGTCTCTGTGTCAAAGATTTTGATCATGTCCATCATTCCAGCAGCGATCTGTGCACCAGAGGGATGCCAGCACAGAGATATGATGCGACCTAGAAACACAATAAAAAACAATCAAACAGCTGCGGGAATCAACCGTTGCTAAATGTGAGTTAGAAAACAAAGCGTCCTCTCACTTTTCTGCCTGTCGAGGTTTCTTTGGAACTGAATCTTCTCCTTCAGGATCTCAAACAGCTTCACTGTTCCGTCCTCACAGCCCACCTGACAAGCAATACATTTATTTAATCCACAGCTGAAGGCTCTCCTCTAATTCCAACCCAGGAATCCTATTTATAAATACAAGATCCACGAGGTCCCGACTCACCGCCAGATGAGTCCCCTGGCTGTTGCAGCTGATGGTCCAGATCGGTCCTCCGTAGGCCTCCACAATGTACTGAGGCCTCAGGTTCTCCAGGTCGTACTCTGTGATCTCACCGTTCAAACCGGCGCTAAACAGACGCTGACCGACCCAACACAGAGCCTCCACAGCTCTGCCGTCCCGACCGGGGATCACCTGAGAGACAGAATCAGGACAGATCTGGAGGTTAGCTCCTCCATGACTGACATTAGTGGGTCAGTGAGGTACGGTGAGCTTAAAGTCAGAGTTGTCTGAATCACAAAAGTCTTTAACCTGCTAGATCACCATGGTAACTGATGCTGCACAGCTAGCTCTCTACGGTAACTGATGCTGCACAGCTAGATCACCATGGTAACTGATGCTGCACAGCTAGATCACCATGGTAACTGATGCTGCACAGCTAGATCACCATGGTAACTGATGCTGCACAGCTAGATCACCATGGTAACTGATGCTGCACAGCTAACCTGCTCTGGAGGAGATTGTGGGCAGACTTCAGGATTGTAATTGGCTGTACGAAATGTCTCACTTTAAACCAGTTCTTTTTCTGATGATTCTGAGTGACACAGATTAATCGGGGCTCCAACGTGCATCAAATTGATTGGTCGCACCAGAGCTCCTGACATTTAACAGGTCTGTCTTTCCATCCATGGGGCGGCTACCCAGCTACATTAAATCACTGTGCCTTCTGGGATTGTGAAATTGAATTTCCCTTCTGGGATGAATAAAGTATTTTTCATTTCATTCATTTCATTTCTTTCAACGAATGTTTTGTCACACATTAGCCTGAGCTGCTGCACTACATTAACTAATTAGGGGCTAGAGGCTTCGTTGTGCACAGCCAGCTTAGTATCTACCAGTGCATGTGAGGAGTTCAGGGCACATCAGTAAATTATAGTGATTAGAAAACAGCTTCTTTGGGCCCCCCTATAGCTCACCTGGTGGAGCGGGCGGCCCATGAACAGGGGCTGTAGTTCCCCGATGCAGCGGTCGTGAGTTCGAATCCCGCTCACGACCCTTTGCTGCGGGTCTGTCCCCATTCTTCTCCCCCCTTTCCTGTCTCCCTCTACTGCACTAAATAAAGGCAAAAAAGCCAAAGAAAACAGCTTCTTTCATTACTAAAAGTCTCTGTATACACTTTGGTCACACCGCTCCACCGTACACTGCATGTAAATTATTTTCTTGTGGAAAACATTGAGATATGGCGAAACAGCAAGTTTATGCTTAAGTTTATTTATTGCAGAGAATGCAGCCAAATGCTCGGCTGGAGACAGAGACTTTGGTGTTGGAGCGTCATCGCTTTGAACTAAAAGAAAAAACCACAATATCTCCAAGAGTCTAGTCCTGTCTGAGTTTCAGCACCAGGAAACAACAAACCGAAGAAGCAAGGAGTCAGAAATCACATTAACCACAGCTTAACAAACAGCCAAAGACAAGCTGCCTTTGACTAACTTAGTCCTGGATCATCCTCTAGGAAAAGAACTAAACATTTACTTGCTCCTTAATTCGTGTTTATAGCCATTTACATGTCAAAACGTGTATTATTCAGATAGTGGGTACACCGGTGCAGCTGTTACCTTCTCCTGGTAGTAGCTGTCAGTGAAGTTGAAGATCTCCACCGCTCCATCACTCCGGGCCACAGCCAGCCGCTCCGTCCGGTGGTTGAACGCCATGGCTCGGATGGCGCTGGGCATGTAGTCGAAGAAGCGAACACGGTGCACCTTGAACTCACCCATTCTTCACGATTAATGGGGGAGAAAAACACTGTTAGCTTATTATTGGTGGAAACCAGTTACACAATCTCAGTCTGCTCCCCTCACGTGTTAGCATGCATTCAGGTCCCAGAGCTAACCAGTGATTTTTATACAAGTACAGTGAACGGCGGTGTTTGTAAAGCTTGAAAGGTCGTTTAAAAGCAGTTGCCGTTACTCTTAGAGTATCTATAGAGTCTGGACAGACTCCTCTAGCAATCAGGATGAAAAACTATTCAGTCAGCTGAATGATAAAAGAGAAGTTTAATCTTTTTCCCGAGGTGCGACAGTTGGGTTCAGGCCATTTAGCGGGCGGTCCGCCATCTTTGTTTTGGTTCACAAACAGGGGCGCAACTTGAGAAACGACTTAAAAATCTTTCTTATTCTTTCATCGATTTTATATTTTTTCACCCGGATGGCTAAAGAAGCCTTAGCGGGTTACGGAAATAAATTCAGAACTTATATCAGCCTTTTTAAAGACTTGTTCTGCCCTTTAAATCTCCCCACTTCTACAAACACCAATGCTTAGCTCTGCGACCAGAATGCATGCTAACGCATGAGTCGCACAAACAAACTGAAGCTACAGGTCCGACAGCGACGCGTAACACGTCACAGTTCAACAACAACAATTCGCTTAAGTTCAGCGGTGTTTCCGTAAATACTAAACATAAATTACCTGCTTTTTGTCCTCACAGTCACTAAACTTTCCTCTAAATTATCGCCACACGCTTGAAAACATCGCCAGCCACGTTGATGACCTCTGAGCCGGAAATGAAACTGGCAGGTGGGAGCGGAAGTACGTCATGACGCTGTGAGCACGTACAGCGCGCGGGAAACGATACCGGAATATAAACAGAGTGAAGCTGCTGCGTTTGGATGTAATTTAATGTAAATGTGCTGATTATTTATGGTTTTATTGTTGTTTTTGTAGCACAAAAGTGTTTCTCATCTGACGGGACGATGGTTCAAATAGTTGTAAGGTAAGAAAAGTGAACGAACTTTACTTTATCTGCCATTTTACTGGGAGTAAATGTGTATTTTTATCAGACAGTTGAGGTAATAATGGTTGGAACATGTCCTCAGAGTCATTAAAAAACTCTTCATAAAAAAGTACAGTGAAGAAGTTGTAATAAGAGAATAAAAAAAATAAAATCATGAGGACAAAACAATTTGTTTCTACCGGGAGGGATCGGTATGTAAAAGCTAAAATATTACTTATTAAGTAAACTGTGAATGAAAAGTGGCACAAGCCGACCTGTAAAGTAGCACACGATGATTATTAAACGTTATTAATATTGTGAGTTATGTCTATGTTTGTCTGTGCTGGCAGTGTAAATGTTGGACGCTGACAGTGGAGTTTGATGTGTAGAAACCTGTCCTGCAGTTTAACTTAAGATAAAAATATAATATAGCACATATGTAATACAATAAATATTATTGTCAACAGTATTACATGTGTAATTATAAAAACAGTAGTTCTAAAAGGTTTTCTATTACGTGTTTATTACAAAAAAAATAAAAATAAAATTCGTAAATGGACCTTTAAAGTAGTTGTATTTGTAATTTTCTACTGCTTTGTTTTAGGAATAATTAATTATATTACTCTGCATTATTGTGATTATGGCTACAGGTGATTTTTTGGTAGTTTTACAGGTTGTTTTTATGACGTACTTTTAGCAAAAACTGTCCCAAAAATATGTCAAATTCATAAATTGACCTTACAGTGATTATATTTGTACTTTTCTGCTGGTTTGTTTTACAAATATTCAATTATATGACTTGGAATTATTGTTATTAAGGTTGCAGGTATCGATTTATTCATTGTAAGTCATTTGCATAGTGGTTTGGTCAGTGCAGCTTGGGACAATAGTAAGAAAACATGTATAAAAATGTCTGGGAAAGACTACGACAAATATAGTACTAATGCTCTAAATGTCTATGAATTCTTCTAAATGCTGGTTTCACTGATATCCTTTCTACTTCGGACACTTAGATCATGTAACGGGTGTTGAGTTGTTGTCTTGTTGTATGACGACCTGCTGTCCTGATGCCGGTGTGTCTGTGGTCGTGCAGAGGCAGCGTGGACGGCAGCAGCCCTCCAGAGTGGCTGATGGTGGAGCTGCAGGGAGAGATGGTGTCCAGACACAACTCTGGTCTGGCAGGAAACGTGATGGGAGACCTGCTCTACACTAACGAGGTACACAACACAGTAAGAAAAAAACGAGGAATGTGCTCAGGTTCATCTTTACTCAGCTGCTGTCCCTCCTCTGTCCATCAGGGGGTGCCAGTGCTCATCATAGGACATCACATTCTCTACGGGAAGCAGGTCAAACTGGAGAAACCCTTCGCCGTCCTCACCAAACACCCGGGCCATTCTCAGGACATTAATGATGAGGATGTAGCCATGGAAACGGACCAGCAAGGCCCCGCCTCCACGTCTTACTCTGTGTCGGCGCTCATCAAACGGAAGCTGATCTTTAAGACTCGACCCAAACCCATCATCACCAATGTGCCCAAGAAGGTGTAGCGGGACTTCCTGTCCACAAAGGACAACAACAAAGATGGCGGCGGTGGCGCTGTGGGAGAGTCTGAGGTTCTCAGGATGACAGCAAACAGGAGAAGGCGACATCAGTTCTTCAACCTTCAACGCTTTTCTTTACTGATTGTAACTGTGGTTCGTCCAACTCATGTGTTCAATATTTATAATAAACCGATAACTTCCACATACTTACAGTCTGAGTGTGAGATTGTACACAACAAGGCGTACAGTCGAGGTTCAGGGACAGTTTAACACTCTGCAAATCAATAAATGTATCAGAACCTCAAACCTAAGTTGCCTGATAATCCATCCATCATCTATACATCGCTTAATCCTCACTAGGGTGGTGTAGGGCTGGAGTCTATCCCAGCTGACTCAGGGTGAAGGCAGGTTCACCTGGACAGGTAACCAGTCTATCACAGGGCTACACTTACAGACAGACAACCAAGCACACTCGCATTCACACCTATGGACAATTTACAATCACCAATTAACCTCAGCATGTTTTTGGACTGTGGGAGGAAGCTGGAGAACCCGGAGAGAACCCACGCTGCACGGGGAGAACATGGAGACTCCACGCAGAAAAATCCCGGGTGTCCTCACCGGGACATGAACTGGCGACCTTCTTGCTGTGAGGCGATGATGCTAACCGCCGATCCATCTTGCAGCCCTGATAATGTTTTATTAAAATTTTTGAGTTTACTTTTAAAGTAATTAGTGTTGGAGAAAAGTTTTCCAGATTTCTTTTTATTTTAGTCTGTTTGTGTTTTTGTTCTTTTATAGCAGCGATATTCTGTCAATCATCAGCTACTATCTTTACCAAACTATTATTAACCATTTATGTTTCAATAACTATTTTAATCAAAGCTGTTACTTTTAAATATTTAAACAGTTTATTGAAGACTTTGAGCCAGTTTTTAAATGTTGTATTAATTAACAGCTAACCATTTAATTTATTGCTTCTATTTGTTCTTCTTTTAAGCTGTTTCTTACTTTCACCTAACAATTAATTTTAAAATGTGCTTTTTTAGTTTTAGACATTATTTTTAGCGATAAGGTTGAACTATTGATTACTTTTAAATTACTTTTAGCCAACTATTATTGTTAGCTCACTGTTACTTTCAGCTAATTATTTATTACTTTTGTTAACACTTTTAGCTAAATAATTATTATCTTTAGCTAACTATTACTTTTGGTTAACTACTTACTACTTTTATCTATTGAATCCATTTGATTGAGCTGCTTTTAGCTAATTATTCCATTCTTTGAACGAACTGTTAATTGAATTTATCAATATATTCGTTGCTTTTGGCAAACTATTTAGTTCAACCTGTTACTTTTAGCCGACCATCTAAACCTTACTTTTAGCTCACTATTTTACATTTAATTGTTTTTTTGTTTTTGTTCTTTTAGCTATTTAGTACTATGAGTTGGATATTTAGACATTTTTTTAAGCTGAGTATTTATTTCTGGTTCAGTTCTACTTCAGTCATTGCAGATTTTGAAAAAAAAAATTCCATTTGTTTGTTTTGTTTTATCCATTTATTTATTTCTTTTATCTTATTTTCCCATATAACCCCATAAAACTGCATCACTTGCCGACTCACATTTTTAAAACTTATGAGCTCCAGTTGTTTTAATTTGGCTTCTTTTTTTGGCCACTAGGAAATGACAGAAGAATGTGAAATGAAATCAGTTTGACCTTCAGAAAGTAAAGGTTCTGCTCACAGCAATCATTTTTTTTGGACCACTAATGAGGATTTAAACTGGAAAAACCCTGCAGTATCAGCCTCCGTCAGATTGATCAGAGAAAGATGCAGATTTGGTCACAATATAAACATCGAGGCTGTGAAGAGTTGTCCGACACGCCGCCGGGATATTTACAGCATGTGTGTGTTTGACGAAGGCGTTTCCTCGCCGGTAAAAAGGCGTCCTGTTGGAGCTGAAGGAGCCGATTCATGGAGCTGCTGCGGAGCCTCAGACACACATGCGCTCAGATAGGCTTGTTTTTAAAGCTCATACTTTGTGGTTTGAGTCATTTTAATCAGTGACTTCACCGGTAAAGCTCTTCATCGGCGCTCGTGGCTGGAAATGAAACACTCCGAATACAGTCAAGTAACGTCTTTGTTCACCGCAAACCTGCAGGTCGTAAAAACGTCTGAAATGTAATGTAGAACATCCTGCTGTAAACAGGCAGCGTCTAATGGTGGCTGGAACCTTAGGGTGTCGGGAGAAAGCTGTAGCCAAAACATAACCATTATTATTAGATTCTTTAGTCTTTCATTGGTAGTGTTGGATCCAACTGTCCAATCAGAGCATCACGTCAAGAGCTTCAGTAGATTTCAGGGGGGATGCACAGGACATTTCTTCCTTCTACGACATAAACATGAAAAACTGCTAAAATGTTTTCCTTCACATAAATTGAGGCAGAAAAGGCACAGATTGGTGGATAAAAAATCACAATAATGCAGCAAATTAAGTGTATGATGCTCTGTCTAATGTTTTGTCTTCTGAAATCTTTACCCACGTTCACATCAAACATCAGAATGGAGAAAAACATTTTTAAATTTAGTCTTTTATTTCTTGTTTAAGTGTTTGTGAAGCTGCTGATCTCCTGGATTCATTTCCCCCCTGCACAGACATTGATAGCACCAGACTTCATTCAAAATATTCCTGATTTTGACTTTATTTAGTCCTCGTAGCAGCACAGACATGGTGCCAGACTCAATTCAGAATATTCCCAATTGTAGACTTGACTTTGTTCAGTTCCTGTTTGGCCGTACAGGCATCCATAGCACCTGGCTTCATTTAAAATATTTAAAATTTTAGACTTGACTTTATTTGGTCCTTATGCGGCTGCACAAACATCTGTGACACCAGACATCATTCAACATATTCCCAGTTCTAGACTTGACTTTCTTCAGTCCCTGTGGGGCTCCACAAACATCTACAGTACCTGACTTATTGAAAATATTATGAATTTTAGACTTAACCTTGTTTAGTCCTTTTACAACTTCACAAACATCTATAGCACCAGACTTCATTCAAAATATTCCCAATTTAATATCTGACTTTATTCAGCTCTTTCAGCTGCTTGCGTTCAGCCCAAACTTTTCTGTCATGCTCTGTTTTAGGAAAAGAAAATCCTGTTATGTGCACATGAATCTAATCAGTTTTCTAATAAAATTTCCATCATGTGCAAATCAAACCTGAGTCAAACAGAGACCTTACAAATTTTAACCAGAGAACCCAACAAATAAACCTCCCATTTAAAGGACACAGATGACTTGATCTTCGTAGTCTTTCTGGACCTCATTCTTTGCATCCTTATTTCCATCTTTTGAATCATGCAGTCCAGGTGATCTTCATTGTCCTTGTGGTCATCCTAGACCTCATCTTTGGCATCCTTACTTGCATTCTTTGAAGGGTGTGTTCTTGTTGTCTTCAACGTCTTCGTTGACCTCATCCATCGCATTCTTGCTTCTGTCCTTAGATGCATGTGGTCTATGTGGTCTTCGTAGTCTATGTGGTCTTTGTAGCATCCATAATCGTCATCCGCTGAAGGATGCAGTCCACATGTTCCACGTGGTCTCAAAGTCTTTGTTGTCTGAAGAATGCGGTCTACAAAGGCCGTGTAGACCTCATCCTTTGCATCCTTACTTGCATTCTTTGAAGGATACGGTCTTGCTGTCTTAAGCATGCAGTCTCCATGTTCCATGTGGTCTCAAAGTCTTTGTGGTCTGAAGGACGCGCTCTATATGGTCTTTGCTGACATCATCTATCACATTCTTGCTTCTATCCTTTGATGGATGTGGTCTACGTGGTCTTCGTTGTCTTTATTGTCTTTGCGGTATCCGTAGACATCATCCTTTGAAGGATACGGTTCACATATTCCACGTGGTCACAAAGTCTTTGTGGTCTGAAGGATGTGGTCTACAAAGGCCATGGAGTCCACATCCTTCGCATCCTTGCATTTGAAGCACTATGTAATCTTTGTATACTTCGTAGACCTCAGTCTTTGCATCCTTTGAAGGAAACTTAGTAGCCTTTGTGGTATTTGTAGACAACATCACTGGAAGGATGAAGTCTAGTCTTCTAAGTGGTCTTCGTAGTCTTCTCATTCTGAAGGATGCAGTCTACGTAGGTCATGTGGACGACACCCTTCGTTTGCTCACCTCCATCCTTGAAAGGTTGGATTCTCTGTCGTCAACATGGTTTTGATAGACTGAAATCTTTGAAAGATGCAGCTACGAATGGATGCGATTTGCAAAGGCCGCTAGGATTGTTAAATGAGACATTCTGGTCTTACGGAGAACTTCCTGTCATGGTCATTGGCTGTTCCCACCTTAACTTTTACATCATGAAGCACGATTTCTGTCGTCTCACCACCTCGATAGCAGTAAGGACACATTTTTACCATTTTTATTGTTAGCTTGTTGACTGAAGGAAAACCCAGCACTTTGATTTGAAAATGTGCCCCTCATCCACTGCTTCGTTTGGGTAGTCAGCACTAGTGCACAATGAATCTTGGGATATGTTGGACCACAAAGGATCCCGCTGTTGAAAAAGAAGGCAACACTCGAAATAGGACAACCTTGTCGCACCACTGTGATGTATTTTGTCTTCGAATGCAGCCGTTGAAGGATGTCGTACCTGAATTGAGACACAATCTATGAAGGTACTTCAAGAAGTTCTCGTCCCCACAAGGAAACAAGGGGGCGTAACGTCCATTTTGGGGCATAACGGTATACTCTAGATCCTTACAGTTTTTGTGACAGTGATGTAAGGCTTCATAGTAGACAGTTATGCCCCAAAATAGGAGTTACGTCCCTTGTTTCCAGGTCTGGAAATTCCTCTGATTCAACCAGGAAAGGTTGGAAAATATTGCTGGAACATCTGTAACTTCCTCTTTCCGGACTTGACTCCAGAATAATCTGGATATTATCTGGTTTCTGTTAAATCAAACACTTTTCCAAGAAATTCTACTTAAAGCAGACAGTGTCTAATTTACTAATCAGATGCTTCACAATCCCCATTATTGATTGACTTCCTTTAAAACAAGGTCGATTACAGCAGGAAAAAGACGACCTCGAGGTCAGTTGATTCATGAAATTGCATCGAAAATGTATTTCTTGCCGTGTGAACATACAACACAGTGAACAAAAGATCGAATCAGCGTAAGAGGAAAATGGGAAAACGTCCATGCAGTCATTTTAAATCATGAAGTCGCTCTCTATTGGGCATGAATGGGAGGATTGTGTCCAAAACAGTGAGCACTTTTTAACGGC